CCTGCTGATTACAGAACCGGCATTACTATCAAAATGCGCATGGCAATCGCATTCGATTAATCATGCAGCCCTAGTTACTGGTAATGAATTGTGCTTTTGAAATCAATAATAATTCTGCTCTACAGTCGCTGTCATTGATGAAGGATAAAACAGAAGTTTCTTTACTCTATTATTGAAGCCTTTTGCTGTGTGAACACGTAAGTGTGAAAAAAGGTCTATTAGGGAGAGGAAGGCCAAGGAGATCATTTGTCTCTGATGACATCTGTGCTACTGTAGTTGACCATGTGCTTCTCTCTGGACGATATTTGATAGAAGTTCATCTGAGTGGAAAATCCTTCATCCGGTAATAGAGGTGGCTTGTGAGAACATTACTTTCATTAGAAAGTATTTTTCATGCAGTGTTGTTGTTTGTTTTTCATACATTGTATGAGTGAATAATTTGTGAAATGTATTTTTTTTTTTTTCCTTTTGTGCTTTTGAATTATGCATTTTCAGGTAATCTGATTCAATACATTTTAACATTTGGATGGATTAATTCACATCCACATTACTATTCAGTTAAAAATGAATACTATATGACATTTTAAACAGTTTCTGAATATGCATTTTTATGGTTGGTGAACCTTAAGCTTTACTTGAGGAAGCATGTCTTTTCTTCTGGAGGAACATAAAGGCTTACTTTTTTGCTATTTCAAGATATTTATTCGGCACCAACAGCCGACCGCTGGAACAGTCGGTTATCAACACTGTCTGTGTGCAGCCCAATGTTTGTGTCCAGTCGCCGGGTGAATGTTGAGACGGTCCAATGTGATACTGCGTATGTCGAACTGGTCCATCCACACTCAACCGCAATAGGGAATACTTCGAAAGCTGAAAGCCTTATGCACATTTAAAACATTGAAAAAAAAAAAAAAAACGTATGTATGCAGTACACTACAGTGAATGTTTTCAGGTTGTTATAAAGCAATTGATTTGTTGACAAGATGCTGTATTAGTGGAGAACAGACATATGTTTGCCATCGAGGCTGAGAAGGAAATAAAGTGATAGAGTAAACACACAATATATGAGGATTGTCCGGAAAGTATCCAGCCATATAATATGAAAAAATATGAGATGGGAGATACAATACAAAGAAAACTGCTGCAGCTATGGGCAACTGGGGATTGGCAGCTTCATCACGACAATGCGCCGGTCCATGTATCACGTCTCGAGCAGAGTTTTTTGGCGAAACATCAAATCACCCAGGACTCAGCCCAGATTTGGTGCCCTGCAACTTCTGGCTTTTCCCAAAACTAAAATCACCTTTGAAGGGGACTGAGGCGTCATTGTACTATGTACAGTGTTTCTTGTATCTTGTATCTTATTCGATAAATGTCTCTACTTTTCATATTACATTGCTGGATACTTTCCGGACACCCCTCGTACATATGTATTCAATTACAGTGCTATGGCCTTTGTGTAGATCAGCAGTCGGGAACCTATGGCAAAATTAGACCGTTCATTTTTCTGCAGAAAAAGCAGCCAATTACAGCTTTTTTGTTGTACAGCCTACCAAAGTTAATTAAAAGTTTAGAATGATATATTTACAGTTGTACCGACCACAGTGCATGTTCAGTGCTGTTCGAGAGTGTCACGACAGCAATCAACATTTCCATGGTAACCTAGAGCTCCTGCACTCAGATTCAAGCAGCTATGCAGCTTGTTTGTGGTAATGACAAAAAGAAAGATTTTTTTAAAACAGCAGCAAAAATTAAAAAGTATATAAAAAGTGACTGGACTGAAACATATTATTTTATTCAAACTGGTGCACTGCTGTGTCCAGAGGCATTTCGAAAACATTTCGCATTTCGACTTTTGCTTTTGCCACAGAGCAAAATTAGGTCCTATGTATCGCATTTATGTCAATATGATTATCTGCACAGCTTTCACTAGGCAGGCTGTTTGAATTTATTCAAAGAAACATGGATGAATGACAAACTAAGGAGCGGGATGTGCTTGATATTAAAAAGAAATATTAAAAGCACAATAATCCTCAAAAGAGAACTGAATCCACTACTGCGCGGAACACAGGCAAGCATAGTAGGCTTTGTCTTCGGTCGTGTGCTCAAACTGAAAAATATACATAGAAATTTGCCTTTGTAATTAGACCTTAGTTATAGGCCCTGTGTAACACATACACAATAAACAAAATTTGAATAGGTGCATTAACACACATCTTTCATTCTGTCTGATTTGATACAGACTGACCCATAAGTGCTTTTTTGGCAGATTAGTTCACTTGTTTGAAGCAAAACCTCTCTAGGTTTAGACAACACAACAGTACACTGGAACAAAACAAGATCTGAAAATATCTTTATAGACATTCATGCTGGAAGACAAGACAGAGATACTGATGAAAACTAGAATGTTTTCAATTAATTCAATTGGATTTTATGTTGGTATCTCTCTGTCGGTCTGTCTATGTGTACTGTACTTTGAGGGCTGCCCTTTCTTCAAAGTTTTGCAACAGAAGTCTGATAATTTCTCATTTTCCATTCCACATTACCCGCTAGCATCAGAAGGGCTGCTCCTGAACCCTGTTATTGGAAGAACCTGTGTCTCTCAAAATCTTTTTCATAGGTGTGTGTATATAAGATCACACATTAAGTTTGTCTTTGAGGAGAAGGTCATGCCAAATTCTATGAGACCACTGTAATTGGAGCCAATTTTTCTTTCTTTGTTCGCTGCTTCATTACTTTAGTAAACTTTAGATTGAAAATAGCTGTTAGTCATCCTATATGATTGTGTTTGTGAGTCTGTTCCCTTTGTTAACATATTTTTGTGTGTGGTACAAGCTGACCAGAGATGAAACAGAGTGTGTTATTGTACCCGCTATGGGGCAACGAGGAGTTAGTTTTGGATTTTGTCTGTGCATGTGTCTGTGTGTGTGGCACATAGTCACTGGACTTAAGTTATTGAACTCTGTGCAAGTTTGTCCTGTGAGGGTCCATGTTCACGGTTGACCCATACTGACCCATCTTGCTCCTCTGTAATGAAACATTCCTTCCATGCATCCAATATTTAATCCAATTCATTCCAGACTGGACAGAGATGAAACCATCATATCCTCTGTAACCTTCACAAGGACAGACACCGGCTTGAGCTGAAACTGACCTTGAAGCATGAAATCTGACAATATTTTGTTTTATTGCCTAAACAAATTGAACAGACATGGGGTGGGAGTTTTGAATGCCTGAGGCTGCTTTTTTAATCAGTAGTTGTCTTAACTTGTTTTGCTTCGGAACCCAGATTACATTGGGTCGGACATAAAGGGAAGTTCCACAATTACTTTTTGTGGGGGAAAAAGCCCTTACAATTAAACATTGAAATGTATTAATAGTACTGTGAACTATATTTATTATTAATTAGGGTTTTTTAATGTTTTTTTTTCTTTTCTTGTTAACTCTTCATAAACCAAACCCTAACTCTGTAGTAAGTACATGTAGTTAATTAATATTACTAAGTACTGTGTAATTACACTGTAACAAGACGCCATAAAATACAGTGTAACCTTTTTTTTCTTATGATGTAAAGTGTACAGATACCTAACAAGCTTAATGTTTGTTTGGTTTCTAAATGTCTCTTTATTTCAGTGGTGTGCGAGTATTCGTTCCATTAAAGACATTGTGGGGAGCACAAATGTTTATTCTAGTTACAAATGTATTTTAGTACTTTGGATCGTGTTTTCTTTCAACTTGTGCAATTTTGTTGATGGTTTTTGAGGATGAGGGTATGTCACGCATTCTGCTCATGCTGGAATCTGGCAAATTTGGCTGCTTTTACCAATACAAAATTTGCCCCAAAATACGATCAACAACAAAAGATATGGAGCGTGTTTTCTCCTCCCAGAGGCTTCTGTGTGGTGTAGATACTAATAGTCAGGAATAGAATGTTGTGTAAAATGTTGAAGCTGATTTTGAAAGGTTATGTTTTGATAATAGATGGTCTCTGAAACAACCGTCAGGCTATTCAAATAACATACAGCTTCAGCACTTCCCTCCATGCCATGCACATTTATAAAATGACAGGAGACAGATCACATCCAGACAGACAGAGCCCCTTAAACCTGCAGTAGACTTCAAACCTTCTGCTTTTCTGACATGGGTGATGGGAGTGTACAAACGACTGCATCACTCCTCACTGAACCATTGCACATTTCCACCTTCACCTGAAATAAATGAATGCAGGTTTAGATTTTCTCATAAATGCCACCACTACACACCCAGCCCCCTTGTGCAATCGCCTGTCCTGAAATATTACTGAAACTTGAGAAGTGTATGTAACAGAGCCCTCATGTTTATTTATTTATTTTTTCCTTGACAGATTGAAGACGCCCAAACGGGCAGTGTTTGCAGGCAGCATGCAGCTGTTGGCGGGAATTAAGCTGTGTACAGGGAGAGTATTGACAAACCATCCACACTACGAGGACCAGGCACTGAGAGAGAGGACCAGACAGGTAAGAGTCTCAAGTTTGTGTAGCTTGAATCACAATTCAATCCAAGTTCTACTATGTCTAGGACCTACCGATCTCCTGGAACAACAATTTAATTTTTGGGACATTTTGCCCTTTTGGGAAATGCTTTTGTTTATTTAGTGTCAATGCTAAAATGCTTCAAACACTAGTCTGGAGAAGTTTTTTGAGAACACAAGGAGCAATCAAGGGTGTATTGGTTCATGATTGTGCAACAGTCACAAAATATATTTTATTTAAAGGGGTCATATGATGCAATTTAAATTTTTCCTTTCTCTTTGGAGTGTTGCAAGCTCTTGGTGCATAAAGAAGATCTGTAAAGTTGCAAAGACTAAAGTCTCAAATCCAAAGAGATATTCTTTATAGAAGTTAAGAGTCAACCACGCCTACCTAAAACGGCTCATTCTAACAC